GCGCTGTCGGGCATAAGACTACCAACAACTTAAGAAGGTTCGGGTCAACTCCTGCTAGTCTTGTGTCGGTGAATGATACTGTCATCCTACAGCTCACCGGGTTCCTGAATCGGATCCCGATGTCGTAGGATGACATATCATTCTGCTCTATCTCCGGTGTACCTTTGTAATCACCGCCCTAAGCCCCAAAACAAAACCGACCTATTTGCGACCTTGCTTGATGGTTTCACGTATAACAAAAGACTATACGTGGACACTTATGTATCGAACATAAGCATAAAAAACCAAACCAAGAAGCAAGGAAAAAAAGAATAAAAATGGGGTGAGAGAGAGGAGTGATTGATTCACCCAAAACATATAAAAGAACGAAGGATGAATCAGCTCTCGAAACTCGTGAAGAAAAGACCTGAAAAGAAAAGCCCGAAGATACTTGAATCAATCTGAAAGGATATCATTTTCTCACTTTTTTATAAGTGGATCAACCCAAGTCAAAATGACCTCCTAACGCCGGTATCCAATCCCCAAATATATCTTTTATGAAATTAATCCATTCCAACCAAATGCTTTTCCAAAATAAGACTTAGAAATCTCTCAAACTTCACAAAAGAAAAATAACCTGGAGAATACCACCACTAGTACTCCCAAACCCATGCAAAAATCAGGATCCTCCAACTTCCAAATTAATCAATGGCCTCATATATCAAATAAGCATAAAATCTTCCCATAGAACCAAATAAACGCTCACGACCGGGGTCAATAGAGGAGAGCAGACAACCAACAAGGCTCTCGACTAAGTCCACCAACAGAACAAGGCACTCACGGCTAAGTCAAGAAACATGACCAAAAGAGGCTCACGACCAAGGCAACCCAAGCCACAGGAAAGGCTCACGGCCAAGACAAGAAACAGGGCCAAAAGAGGGTAGAGGGTCACGGGTAAGGCCAACAAAAGCACAACCAGACTCCAAACTAGCTCACGGGTAGGAGCCAGAACAAACCAAACCAAATTCCATATAGGAATCTCACAACCACAGATGGCACGTGGGAACCCAACACAACACAAATCCGCGGGTGCGGGACAAAAAAGAAGCAGACCTATGCCTACTGATCTCACGGTTAGAGGGCAAAACCGAAGGCCACAAGGGCAGTGCCCACTTAACAAGGCTCACGGCCAAAGTAAGGAAAAATTAGCCCAAGCACAAGAAAGGCTCACGACCAAGGCAACCCGAATCAATTCCATGAGGATCTTTGATATACATAAGAGAGTACAAAATATAATTATAATTTCAATCCACCTACAATCATCCAAGTAGTTCAAGCCCAACAAGAAGGACTAAATCACACCAAACAACCTCCAATAGGTCTCACGGGTAAGGACTGCAAGAGTGACAAATCTCAATGGTGAGCTCATGGGTAGGACCAAAATAAGTAAAACCGAGCTCCAAGGGAAGCTAAAACCGAGCCATTCAAGGCCAAAAATAAAGCTCCAACAAAAATTAAGACCGTGGTCTCAACATAAATTAACATTGAGTCACTTTTAAGCATCCAACCACTCAGCAAGGGCCAGAGTGAGACCCTTAAAGCTAGTAAAGAAGATTCAAAGCCTCAACAAAAATTAACATCCCATGCCAAAAATTAACATCCCATGCTCCT